TTTTACTTAATTTAGTGTACATATTACTTTTACAGCTAAAAACCTCGACTTGGGGGTCAACTAAGCATAAATAAAGAGATTTTGAGAGAAATTGGAGTTTAAATGACAGGAATGAATGAATGATGGATATGTGCATTCTAATATCTATTATTTATAAATGATCGATATATTAACACTGCTCACCTCTTGAGGAGTGCACACTGAAAAAAGTTCTAGAGACGAGAAAGCAGGCACTAGTTACAAAGTTCCAATAAAGGTATCGAGAGGGCTAGTCAGGTGCAAAGCAATTACCCTAGTTGAATGGCTAACAATAAGTTGAGGACTCGATTGGAAGGTATGGAAGTGTTAATTGGATGAATTCACAAGTTTCGGAACCAAATTCCATATTTGGAGACTTTGGAGACTTAGCCCATGTTTGGACTCTATTTTTTCAAAATTCAGTTCTTCAAAAAATCACTGTTACAAAGCACAAATCCCTTAAAATATGGTCAGATAGGGGCATAATATGAGGAAATAGTAACTTTGGGGATCATCGTGTAAATTCTCAAAACTTGGAGAACAAAATTTGAAGAAGATAAAAGTTGAAGGACCAAATTGAACGATCTTGGAAGATGAAAGACCAATTCGGAAAAAATTGAGAATGAAAGGACCTAAATTGGCTAGATTGAAGACCGTATGACTATAACTGCACAAAAACATGAGATTGGGGGATTAAAATGTGTGAAAGTGAAGCAACGAAGCATGCTATGACCGCAGCTGAAGAAGAACTGGTGAAATTCTTAGCTGCGGTCACAATCGATGAAGTGTTCAATCGGGAACTCTATTCAAATTCGAGGGTACTTTAAGTATTTCAATGTTACGAATTTCTATGCAGATGGAAGCTTGTATAAAGAACAAACCTAGGTCAATAAAAACTGTCACGCAATAGAAAATCATAGAGATGAAAGCAAGAATTTCGAGTTTTTCTCGACGGAGAAGATGGTGCAAAATTGAATATTTTGAAGAAATTTATATTGAGAGTTGTATTTTTCCTTTCCTACCAATATCTGGGTCCAACTTTTTTTGTTTGTTTAATCTAATCATGCATGGCTAAACATTTCGTGGTTAACAATAATTTAATTTGAAGTTGCTCGGTTTTGTTTAATTCTTGTTTTTCGGGTTGAATGCTTATTATTTCGTTATTCCATTTTAATGGTTGATCGTTATTAGAATATTTGTGATTTATATTGCTTTCAAGATGTTCAGTATATATTAGCACATGGTAATAAATAATATAAAGTCATTTAATAGTTATATATAGAAAAATTAGGGCATGTTCTCTTTACCATTTTCAAGCCGTTTTCTGTTTTTGATTTTTCAAAATAGTGAAAACGCGTTCTCTTTCCTATTTTCGAAAATGCGTTTTCGAAAACAAATTAAAAATTTACAAATAAAACCCAAAATGATAAATTTGTCGTTTTTAGTATTTTCAATTATAATCAAACCAAATTTTTTAACACACGTTTTGGGTGTTTACGAAATAATTTTTCAAAATGTCAAAAAGAACACATTTTCAATAATCTCAAAATGAACGCTCAAAACACAAAACTCAAAATGAATTTAAAACTCAAAACACAAAATTGAAATACAAAGAGAACAGTACCTTATGTTCTATGAAATCGTTGATTGGTTATCATTGTAATTTAATTTTTGTTTATATGTTCGCAACTTAATTAGAGATAATTAAGTTCGAATATAAGTATAGAATAATCGACCTCGAAAGAATCTATTGATTATAACTGTATATATGACCTAGGCAAAAATTTATAAATACATGTAATTAGTAACACACTGGTGGTTCGTGGTCCTGGTGCATAACGAGATTGAATTCTACTCTAAAGTATTTTTTTTTCGTGCTTAACTTACTTTAATTATTAATTAGAAAATTGATCTTAATAATTGAGTGTATTCTCGTAGAGTTATTGTGATTAAAGTGAAATCAATAATCAATTTTTGTCGGATAAACTCTCTCATCATTATATTACTTGATAACGATTCGTTATCTTGTGGGACAAAATCAACAACACTCAACACGAAAAAAGAGAATTTTTTTTACAAACCGTGCAGTTGAAAATCATAGAGATGAAAGCAAGATTTTCTCATTAATTTCAAGTTTTTCTCGATGGCGGAGAAGGTGCAAATTGAATATTTGAAGAAATTTATTATTAAGGGTCGTAATTTTTCTTTCTATCGAATATCGTGGTCCAACTTTTTGTATTTGTTTAATTTAATCACGTCGGGCTAAATATTTTGTGGTTAAGATTATCAATGAAACCTTGTTAGTCGCGATTATTTTTGTTTATAATTTAATCAGAGATAATTAATTTTGCATATAAGTATAGGACAATCAATCTCGAGAGAATCTATTAATTATAATTGGATATATGACCTAGTCAAAAAAATTTATAAATACATGTAATTGGTAATCAAATCAAGGGTCACAACATTGGATTCGTGCTTAATGAGATTGAATTCTACTTTAAAGTTTTTTGGGCTTGCTTAACTTAGTTTAATTATTAATTAGAAAAACAATCTTTATAATTGTGTGTATTCTCGATAGAATTAATTGTAATTAAAGTGAAATCAATAATCAATTTTTGTAGGACAATACTCTCTCATCAGTATATTACTTGTTACGTGGGATAAAATCGACAAAACTCGACGCGAAAAAGAGAATTTTTTAGTGCTCGTTTAATGAGAAGAACCAAAGAAAAAGAAAATACGAGGGCAAATAAAAAAAAAAACCTCGGGAAATCTTAATTCAACATGAACCAATCTTCTTAATTCTACATGAACCACAAGAACATGTTATATGATTGATATTGAATTAATCTAGGTTATATGTACATTCTAGGTTACTTCCTACTTGACGTTCCCTCATATGTGCTTGAAAAACTGTTTCATAAATTATAACTCCCCTTTTCAGCTCAATTTTTTCAAAACTAATTTTAACCACACATTCTCTAGTAGAATAATTACACACATTTCCAAAAAAAAAATCCTTACTTTTTAACTGCACATTTTTTCTGTAACATTCCATTGGAGAACCTTTAATAATAAGGGTTTTGCTATTTGCAGGAGAAATTGATTGAGATTTTGGTCCATTTTAGTTAGCCAGCCACCGCAGTCTGTTGTATCCCAATAGTTGGGAAATTATTGAAAATACTCCAAATTCAACCATACCCTTT